GCTTAAACCAGCCTAGGATGGTTGGCTGGTTTTAGCTGGTCGACCAGGCTGGTTTTAGAGGGGTTTTGGCCACTTCAAGACTGGTTTCCAGCCATTTCCAGCCTGGTCTTAGCTGGTCAGGCTGGGAGATGACCAGCTAAAACCAGCTTGACCAGCCTAGCCAAGCTGGGAGTCCAGCCAAAACCAGCTATATCCAGCTTAAACCAGGCTGGTCAAACTGGTTTTAGCTGGATTTGGCTGGTCATTTTCCAGCCGGACCAGCTAAGACCAGGCTGGAAATGGCTGGAAACCAGCCTGGAAATGGCCAAAACCCCTCTAAAACCAGCCTGGTCAACCAGCTAAAACCAGCCAACCATCCTAGGCTGGTTTAAGCTGGATTTTTCAGCAGGGACCCATTCACACTCAAACACTACGAACAATTTAGCCTACTTAGTTCACCTGTACCGCATGTCTTTGGACTGTTGGGGAAACCGGAAACCCACACGTACGCAGGGAGAGCATGCAAACTCCACACAGAAACGCCAACTGACCCAGCTGAGGCTTGAACCAGCGACCTTCTTGCTGTGAGGCGAAGGCAGTACCTACTGCGCCACCCTTTCTCGATTCTAATACAATATTTTTATATTTTATATTTGTATGCAATTGACAAATCGTCGCAGGCAAATTAAACTTTAGTGACAAGGCAGCACTGACCCGATCGATCAATATTTTACTTTGGTAAAATAAGCATAATCTAGAGGCCCTTGCCTTTCATATAAGCCACTTCTGATACCAAATGATCAACTAGAAGTCAAGTATTATTTGTTGTTCCTAAAGCTTAGAAAGGTGACAAGACCTTTGTCAGGTAGTGTATGCTTGAGACAGTCGCACCATTGGACAGTTTTGAAAATGTAAAACATCCAAAAACAGCAGCTTTTATAGACCTTTTTCATGGCTGCTGCATGGAGGGCGCCATAGCGACCAGCGTCTTCCGGTAGAATGCTAAAAACTTCAGTTTACAGCGTGTACAACTGGTAATTTGCGCTCCGAAAATGGGTTTCAATAACGTTTTTAATGGATAACAGAGTGTTTTTGTGAAATGTGTCTGTTAAAGCCGTTATAATCTGTCACATGTGGTACAAGCGCGTCAGAAATACGAGAAAAACGTTCTCCTAGTTCACGTGTCTGCCGTCAGAAATACTGTGTGTGCGCGTCCCCGGCCTGTCAGCTGTTAGCTCAGCGGCTCTTTAACACACACACACACACACACAGAGAGAGAGAGAGAGAGAGAGAGAGAGAGAGCAAACCAGAGTACTGGCATGAAACTTGACAGGTATGAAAGTCGTGCAATTTACAAAAATGAGCAATAAAAGTCTGTTATTGATCCTCTGCTGGCTGATTTGCTGTTCATTCTAATCGCGAGCCGTTTGTGTTTTATTTCGTGTGTTGTTTTCACCACGGTGTGTGTTTTTCTGTCATTTGGAAATGACACTCGCCTATATTTTCACTTTGTCACAGTTATTAAATCAGTGTGTCAGTGGCGCAGTACAGGCTACGTGTGTGTGTCAAACATTTTGCTGAACTACATTTGTTTGGGCTGGTTATATATTTGAAATAAAGAGAAAATGTTGACTTTAGCGATGACGAGGCTTCATTTAAACTGCTGAAGATGCCGTCTGACAGCGAGGGGAAAACGCCTCACAGCAGCTGTTCTCCATCCTACTAGATGGCATTTCTTTAAAGGATCAGTCCAGGAGATGCTGCTGATGGACAACAGGATTAGTTCAAAGAGGATAAAAGCAGGTAAAATAGATTAAAACTATCGTTTCAAAGCTGTCCAAATGTGACTGTTTACACGCATCAGCTGCCGACCGGAAGTTCTTCGCATTCTCCTTGCACATACACGCAAAGCATAATGGGTAATTTTGCATTCCAAGAAAAAGGTCTATAACAACAGGTCCATGGAGGACAAAGAAATGTTTAATCATTCAATGCGTTTGAATTGATAACAGTACTAATTATACTCATGTGTCATTGTCATCTGAGAAAAAATGAACCCTTTTAGCTGTTTTGCAGTGCTAAAAAGTAGCCCATTACACGAATATGTCCAAGCAAATAATGAATTATTAATATAATATAGCATTGATGCAAACAGCCTGAAACAGTGTTTAGAAGTAGTTGTAGAAATGTCTGAATCTCATCGCATTAGGGCCAATTCACTGTAAACAAACAAACAGCAACTGCACTGAAGCATGTGTGTTGCGGGTTGTTGTGGCAGTGTGAATTGGCCTTAACTAGACAACATAATAGCAAACTAAGTGGCTCTTGTGCTCAAGGGTCTTTCCACTAATTTCCTTTTTCCTCATAATTTGTGCTGTGTTTTAATCAGCTGCTGTTTTGGTGATGTTTAGTAGATTCAAGAACTCGGGTGTCCTCAAGTTCACACAGATGTGCGAGCAGAGGAACCATGGGTGTAGAGAGGCAAATTAACCTCGCATAATCAGGGCTCGAAATTACCTTTTTTGCTTTGTAGCACTGGAGCACCAGCCAAGATTTAGGTGCACCCACCTAAAATTAAGAGAAACGCTACTACAAGCCCCTATTATGGGTTTTTGAAAATGAGTTTCAGTGTAGTGTGCAACACAGCTCAAAGTGAAGGAAAATATCCAGCTTAAATCTGAAAATGCACCGTGTTTAAAACTATTGATTCATCTATAAAAGAGTCGACTCATAGTGGTTCATATGTGCCGGCGTGATGTTGATACGAAACTCAAGCTCCACCCATTTGTTGCGTGGGCAAACCTGAGCTGCGTTCCAAATGGCACACTATACACTATGCACTCATGCACTATGTACTAATGCACTTACACACTCAACAGGATAGTATATGTATGTAGTGTCGTCCCAAATGGCACACTAATGTTTTTTTACTAAGCGGAAATTCAAACCGTTTCCCTGATGACGTTCGACGGTCGCCAAATCAGTAAAATAAACGACTGAATTATCAAATAACACCTGCCGTTAGTATTGCGGCATTCACCATCGGGAGGCGCTATAATCACTCTAGTAGGAGAATTTTGCTTTCACCATCCAAAATAAATAAAGTTATCCAACATGTGCATCCGATAGCTCCGCCCCTTCCGCTACGTAAGCAAACCTGCGGTCGCTGAGTGCGTGAAGTGTCCATCATTACACACTTCATTTTAGCGGCTGAATGAGTGCATCATCCGGGTAATAAAAGTGCACTTAATGTTTTTAGAGTTGTCAGTGTGAACACACTACTTACACTATTTATACTACAAAATGGCGTAGAATAGTGCATAAGTATGCGATTTGGGACGCAGCTCTGGAAAAATTGAAACCCAAGGCCCCGCCCACAAACACTGTAGAACGAATAAGAGGAAGACAAACACTGTAGCAGATCCCGATTGAATCATGTCGTGAAGACGCTGTGCTCTGAAGTGTGAGGGAAAGTTAGTGGCTGCGTCCGAAACCGCCTACTACTCAGTAGGTGCTGCATTTGAATTTAAACGTACTACTCGGCCGTTAGAAAAGTACGTTCTATACAGTATGAATGTGAAAAGTATGACTGGAATTCGGACGTGCTACATCCACCATTTTGTCATGGTCACGTGACCTACCTGCGTCAGTTGCGTCGCTTCACTTCCATTCATGAATTCTCTCGCAAAGCATTATGGGATAGCGTAGTGTGCATGGGATGCGTACTCCAGAATCTCCCCGGAAGTAGGAAGTCATCCGGGTACTTCTCGCATGCTGATTTTCGAATTCTATGAATTCGGACATACTACTCGGCTCGCATACTGATTTTAGCTTACTATATAGTATGGAAGTATGCGGTTTCAGACGCAGCCAGTGTTACTTTCCCTACCGGAAGATGAGGCTGTGGGTGAAGTTTATTTTTGCAAAAATACCTCAGCATTATAGCCCCAGCCTTGCGCGGTGTTCCCGTCATTTTTCTGACGAGTGCTTTAGCAATTTACATGCTTACAATGGGGGATTCGTCAGACGTTTGTTAAAGGAAGGATCAGAAAAGACTATTGATGTATGAGACAGCACTTGACAGGACTTTTTCAGTACACAGTTCATGGATCAGTTCCTTCCTCCAATTCTCCAATTTTCTCTAGCTTGCAAATTCTGAATTTAATTGTTTTTTGTACTGAATCTGGGTAACTCTTTATATTCTTATATCGTGTCTAAAGTCACGTTGAAAATGCGAAGCGTGCCGATTTGTTAACAGATTTAAAGGTGTTTGCGATCCTCTGCCGTTTGTCATTGCTATGGCCACCGTCAGCTGTTCCTATACACGTGCGGCAGTCAAGTTTGAAAATGATAGGCGTGCTAGGCATTTCTCGCGGCCTCACGCTGAACGCAGTTGACCAATCACAACAGAGAGTCATTGAATCAATCAGCGCAGATTTGCATCACTCCAAAAAGGGTTTTGGGAAAAAAATGTATCACTGAACGAATCATATGGGAGTCGTTAGAATAATTAGGTAAAAATGCAAGCATATTATAAAACAATGAAAGGGTTTTTTGCCTTTGCACGCATATCAGCCTGTTATTGGAGGCCCCAAAAACAAAATATGACCTTTTATAATGCAAAATAGGGGCTTGTTAACTTATTAATTGCATTTGAAAACAACGCCGATTAAAACGTTAAAACAAAACAACTAGAATAAGATAATTTAGCTTGTTTTAAGAAAGAACTCACCTAATTTCTAACATTCTAACATTATTTCTGAAAACAAGACATTATTTTTTACTTGTCTAGAAAATGCTTCTTGATTTAAGCCCTTTTAGATAGTCGGATGAGAAAGACGACAACATTTTTAAATAAGTAAAGCTTTCTTTGCAGTGTACGGCCTAGGGTGACAAAAAGTCTAGAAACGGACCTGACATAACGCACTAAAGTTTGACGACCACGCAAGGTGTCACTGCAGTGTTCTCTTCATTTTGACCGTCCATCTGTGTGTGCATCTGTTCGTGTCTTTCTGCTGCAGACTATTCTGGTTGGAGACAGTGGAGTGGGGAAGACGTCTCTACTAGTGCAGTTTGACCAGGGGAAATTCATCTCCGGATCCTTCTCTGCCACTGTGGGCATCGGATTCACGGTGAGTTTCTCTACTAAAAGTCACAAACGCTTTTAAACTGCGCACTCACATAGCAAATAGGGCTGCACAATATTGTAAAAATCGAACAAAGCAATATTTTTTTATTGCGCGATATATATTGTGATAGGGCTGCACGATATTGTAAAAATCTGACTTTACGATTTTTTATTATTCTGCAAAATATGTTGCGATAGGGCTGCACGATATTGTAAAAATCTGACTTTACGATTTTTTATTATTCTGCAAAATATGTTGCGATAGGGCTGCACGATATTGTAAAAATCTGACCTTGCGATATTTTGTTATTGTGATATATGTTGTGATAGGGCTGCACGATATTGTAAATTTCTGACTTTACGATTTTTTAGTCTGCGAAATATGTTGTGATAGGGCTGCACGATATTGTAAAAATCTGACCTTGCGATATTTTGTTATCCTGTGATATATATTGCGATAGGGCTGCACACTATTGTAAAAATCTGACCATGCGATATTTTGTTATTCTGTGATATATTTTGCGATAGGGCTGCACGATATTGTAAAAATCTGACCTTGCGATATTTTGTTATTCTGTGATATATGTTGGGATAGGGCTGCACGATATTGTAAATTTCTGACTTTACGATTTTTTAGTCTGCGAAATATGTTGTGATAGGGCTGCACGATATTGTAAAAATCTGACCTTGCGATATTTTGTTATCCTGTGATATATATTGCGATAGGGCTGCACACTATTGTAAAAATCTGACCATGCGATATTTTGTTATTCTGTGATATATTTTGCGATAGGGCTGCACGATATTGTAAAAATCTGACCTTGCGATATTTTGTTATTCTGTGATATATGTTGGGATAGGGCTGCACGATATTGTAAAATTCAGATCTTTCGATATTGTGTTATTCTGCGATATATGTTGTGATACGGCTGCACGATATTGTAAAATACTGACTGCGATATTTTGTTATTCTGTGATATATGTTGGGATAGGGCTGCACGATATTGTAAATTTCTGACTTTACGATTTTTTAGTCTGCGAAATATGTTGTGATAGGGCTGCACGATATTGTAAAAATCTGACCTTGCGATATTTTGTTATCCTGTGATATATATTGCGATAGGGCTGCACACTATTGTAAAAATCTGACCATGCGATATTTTGTTATTCTGTGATATATTTTGCGATAGGGCTGCACGATATTGTAAAAATCTGACCTTGCGATATTTTGTTATTCTGTGATATATGTTGGGATAGGGCTGCACGATATTGTAAAATTCAGATCTTTCGATATTGTGTTATTCTGCGATATATGTTGTGATACGGCTGCACGATATTGTAAAATACTGACTGCGATATTTTGTTATTGTGCAATATATATTACGAGAGGGCTGCACGATATTGTAAAAATCTCACTGCGATATTTTGTTATTCTGCAATATATATTGTGACAGGGCTGCTCGATATTGTAAAAATCTGACTTTGCGTTATTTTGTTATTGTACGATATATATTGTGACAGGGCTGCACGATATTGTAAAAATCTGACTTCGTGTTATTTTGTTATTGTACGATGTATATTGTAACAGAGCTGCACGATATTGTAAAAATCTGGCATTGCGATATTTTGGTATTCTGCGAAATACAGTATATTGCGATAGGCCTGCACAATATTAACAAAAATCTAACTTTTTGATATTTTGTTATTCTGCTATATATTTTGCGATAGGGCTGCACGATATTTAAAAAATCAGATTTTTCGTTGTTTTGTTATTCTGCGATATATATTGCTCCAGATGGAAAGTTTTGTTTTGTGTTTACCTCATGGTTAAAGTTGTTGCACGTCCGCTGGTTCCGTCCTTAAAATGAGCAAGTTTGAGCCACTTGTACATTAAGCTAGCGTTCAGAAAAAACAAAACACCAGCGAAGAAACTCAACACAAAGGAACATAAACACCTGACTGCCAACTAGAGTTTCGGAAGTGTTATTGCAGAGCAAAAGAAACAGCGCACATAAGTATGAATGCACAGCTATGCGCGTTTCATGCGTCGTGGGTTACGCCAGTCACTTGGCGCTGAAGTATTAACCAGGCTTTAGTCTCTGTTGTGTTTTGATGTGATTTTTGACTGTTGTAGTTGTGAAACAATTGAAATCATTTAGTGTAATGATATGGAGCTGTAAACATGCCAGAACTTCTTCAGCCTTTATATGGAAATAACGGTACACCTTACAATGCTCCTCAGCCAATCAGAATCAAGCATTCAGCAGCCCTGCAGTATAAATGAGGGATATTTGACGACGGGCTAGTGTGAAGTGTTCATTATCATCCAATAATTCAATGGATAGAAGTTATTTTTTCTATGGTTATCACACCTGAAATCACTGTTCAGATGTCGTATTTCCGACACTGTAGTTTAAGACTTGTTTCTTCTGTTCTGTTTTGATTATTCAATCTGAAACAATGATTCAGCGTAGTGATATGGAGCTCCAGTATAAACGTGCCGGAACTACTTTAGCTATGCATTTATATTGAACACCTTTGAATGCTCAACAGCCAATCAGAATCAAGCATTCAGCAGGTCTCTAATACATAAGCTCAACAGGTGTATAGATAATTGACCCTCGTAACGCCTCAGCACATGCTATACTAAAATAATAATACTAGTATTAATATTAAAGACCCAAAAGGTGTGTGTTGCCTCTCCTTGTGTTTCTCTGTCGAACTGCTGAGTCTGACTGACGTGTAAATACCAACAGCTTCTCTGTTGGCTTTCTTGTCTGGATTTGCACTTCTGTCGTAGGTCCCTGCAGAGAGCCGACGGGTTTTTTCAGCACACAGCATCTGATTACAATAATAAGATAATGATCATTTTACAGCGGGCTCTGATTATAATTGCAGAGAGATCTGTCTGGCCTCGCTTGGATCATCACTGTTTGTTGTTTTCCAAGTGCTTTTCTTCTTCTTAATATTTTGTAATTAGTCTCAGTGTGTGTGTGTGTGTGTGTGTGTGTGTGTGTGTGTGTGTGTGTGTGTGTGTGTGTGTGTGTGGAGACATGTTTAATATGTGTGCATGAGTATTCTCCAGAAATACATTTACTCATTTTTACAAATGCAATTTAGTCTTCTGTTCAGAATTAAATACGAATACCTAATAAATCTATATAACGTCTGAATTTGAAGAAGCCTTGCACAAAAGAAAAACAAAACAAGCATCTGGAAGTCCTTACAGCCTTTCTGCGGGATACGATATTCAATCATGAACAAAAATTCTGTTAAATATTCATTGATTATGCTAAGTAAAGTTTTTTTTTTAAGTCTGTTCGTTCGTAGATAAACAACATGATGTACATTTTAAAGCTTTATTTCATTACATAAAGCATTAATGAGTGTAAATCCTCCAGTCGATCAGTGGAGGGCGCACTAAACACACGGTTCTTAAAGGGATAGTCCATCCAAAAGTGAAAAATCCCTCACTATTTACTCTCCCTCAAGTGGCTCCAAACCTTAATGACTTTTTTTCCTCTGTTGAATACAAAAGAAGATATTTTAAAGAAAGCTAAAAAAACATTACCTTTGACTTCCATAGAGGAAAAAACAAATACTGTTGATGGAGGTCAACATTTTTCTAAATATCTTATTTTTGAAACAGAGAAACTCGTAACAATTTGAAACAAGTAAAAGGTTAGTAAATGATAACAGAACTTTCATTTTTTTGGTGAACTATCCCTTTAACGTGAATTAAAGCTCAATTAATTTAAATAATTAGTCAAGGTTTATTTTTATGTACAAATCACGCTAATAACAAACCATTAACCAATACTTTTAGCTCAATAAACTACTAATATGATGCTGAATAATAGTTAGAAAAGTATTAGTTGGGTGTATTGGGTAGGATAAGGGACGTAAAATAAGATCATAAACAGTTCATATCTTAATAATAGGCTGGAAATAAGCCAGTAGGCCTAGCAAATGGTGTGAATTGTTAGACTAAAGTGTTAACAAACAAACCATTGCGTTTTGGAAGTTGTAATGTATACTATAATTATCAAATATGTGTTTAATTTATTTAAGAGCTCGTCTTTATATTGACACAGGCTTAACTTCACTGAAACGACGACTTTATAAGGAGTTCCTACTTCAGGCAGGTTAAATGAGGTACATTTCTTCAAGAATATGACATAACCTTAAGATTAATTTAGTCAGTCTCCATCTGCACTGACCTTGAGCGTCGCGAAAAACCTCAGAAATGTCATTTTATTATTCTCACTCAGCGAAACTTTCTCTCACAGAAACTGAGCGAGCTGGTAGAATGACCGTTGAACTGAAACGAAATGGCGAACTGGGCGGGGCTTGATCTCCGGGACTTGCTCTTATTGGTCAGTTACGATGAGCCTAAACAATTTTAGCTCTATAATTAATATTTTTAATTCCAATGTGTTGTTAAAATATCACCATTCTGTCATAAATAAATAACACCCATGGATAATTCACCCCCCAAAAATAAAAGTTTATAATTACACAACCTCAAGTGGTTTCTAAACCATTAAACGCAAATGAAAATATTTTGAAGACAAGCTGAAAATAAACCGACTTCCGTTGTGCTAAGGAAGTCAGTGGTTACGTTTTCAGCTTTCTTCAAAACATCTTCATTTGTGTTCAACAGAAGAAAGAAACTCAAGCAGGTGTGGAGGGTGTGTGCAATAGTGAGTTAACTTTATTTTTTAGGTGATCTAAGATCTAAGTGTGAATTATTTATGACAGAATAGTGATACTTTAATGACACATGGGAATTCAAAATATAAATTATAGAGCTAAATGGTAAATTTCCACTTTTGGGTATCCTATAAACAAGAAAGCATTGTCACGTGATAAGTGTTACTTTTCACATCAGTGTGGAAGATTAACCAATCACAGTCGTCTGTGATGGCGTTTACCCCTATATACTAGTTTACAGATTGTAAAACGTATTTTATATGTGTACGTCAGTTATCAATGCTTGGAATGCACAATATTTAAACGATTATACATTGTGGTTTTTAAGTGCTTGCCAAATGCCAATAAATCGTTCAGAAATTATTACCAAGCCAAATGAAGGATTCGCCTTCTGGGCCCTCAAGCGCCCCCTATAGGAAAGACTAATGTAAATCACAAAATGAAAACGCATTAGACTTGTTTTGTCGCTTAATAACGAACGCGACGCGACCAAACCGCGCCGCTCCTATTAAAATGAATGAACGAAGTGAGCGCGCGCGCGCGGCACCGACAATTCGCGTATCATGATGATGATGATTATTATAATGGGCGCGTCTGGATCGGTCGCGTCGCCCGTCGGGTGTCGTTTGTCGGTTTCCTCCTCTCAATCAGTGTGATCGAGCACCTGTGCGTGTGTGTGCCCCATGGGAGCCTGTTGCTCAAGCGTATATGTGTGTGTTTTAGGAGAAATCGCCGATGTTTTTCCATCATTTCGGATAGATGCACTGCTTGTGTTTCCCTGATCTCCGCGCATCCTCCTCCAGCATCTGATGAAGTTTGGGCGCGCTGTGCACTATGTGATGCGCTTGTGATCTGCTCACCGGCGTCTCTTTTGGGAAGATCATCGAAAGCAGAAGCGCTTGGTTGGTTTTGTTTTGTTTTGTTTGTTTTTTCCGCGATGTCAATCAAGAAAGCGTCTTTGACGGAAAACGGGGTTAAAAACGGAACGTCCAGAAACGTGCTGGAGCGATGCGCCTCGGTCAATGAGTATTTCGATATCGCCTTCAAGGTGTGAGTTATTCCCATGTTCTCATGATTGTTTAGTGGGTTGTTGTTGGCATGATTGGCTGTGATGTTGTGATGTTAGTTGGCACCTGTGGCGCGCTCTCGGAGATCACTTTTACTCCATGCAAAGGCATGTTCACACTCATGCAGTGTCAATTCACTTTAAATGTCTGTGCACACTTAACATATTAGTTTGCTGTATAATGCAGTGCTTCTTTTGGGTGGTTTAGAACTAAAATGTTCATCAAACGCGCCACTAATTAGTAAACTACTCCTATTTAAAAGGTTTTTTTTTATAGCAATCAATTATTTATATGGTTCTAGAACCCTGTTTGAAGGTTATTTGCATTTAATCATTTTTGCATTGTTTTTTAACAACATGACAGAATTAATTCAATTCAAAATTGCTTCATTGGCATGACTGTAAATGCTACAATATTACTAAAATAGGTGGACAATTATAAAACTACTATAAAATATCAAAGAATTAAAAATGTTATAATTAAAATTAAATTACAGCATTGCATGTACAACGTACAGTATACTACCCATTTCATTCATTTGCTGTAATAATATTTGAGTAATGTGAGCTGTAGTTTGTCTTTTCCTCTGAGGATTACTAATATTGACTCAAGGAGGGAGTCTTTAAGAGATATAGCTACTGTACTGTAAAGAAACACACTGATATGTGACATATTTTCTCAGTTTGAGTCTTTTATTTTAGTGCAATTACTAAAACAACTGCATGGCCTTGAAATGATTCCTGCAGTGTCAGAAAATTGCACAACAGCAGTTCATTAATTTCTGCGAAGAACATTTTGCAATAATAACAGCACAAGTCTTGGGTAAACATGTCTCACAGTTTGAGTTTCCTCTTGGTTACTGTGCATTTTCTCCTGTCAAAACATCTGCGCCTGGCTATGAAGGTCTGCAGAAATGACCTTATTTATGTTTGAAACATGTTTCTGGTGTTGTTATGCATTATATTAATGTGACTTCATGTTATTCCCATTTAAACTCTCTTCCCCCCTGATCCACTTGTCAAATTGAGACACTCCGGATGTGTTCACACTTGCAGATCCGCTCTCTTAACTGGTTTGGTTTCGGTTTCAGAAGAAGCTGATGCATTTAGTCCTGCAGAATTTAACACGGTTATGTTTCAGACCAAACGAAAAATACAAAACACCAAAGAATAGCCTTTATTAATGGTATTATTTTGTGACTGAATACTATTTTTATTGCCAGAAGAGAACTTGTGAAATAGATATAAGATGTGTACTTAGCAGGAAATCAAACACACGTATAATATAATATGTTTAGCTTTATTGCTTTAACGCTTCTTACAGTGTAGATTGTCAATATTCTAGACCAGATAATAATAATTAGTCAAGTTAATTATCATGATATATTGGATATTGGCATATGTCTAGACTGGTGTTTCCCAACCCTGTTCCTAAAGGCGCATATATATATATATATATATATATATATATATATATATATATATATATATATATATATATATATATATATATAT